CCCACCAGGACTAGGAGATATGAACATGCCTCAGTCCATCGCTATCTACGGATAAACCACCTTCCTCTGCCCTACTTGCTCAGTGCTTTCGTCCTTCACCAAATCAAGTCAAATCAAATCCAAATGCGGTTCCAAACCTACAATGGCTTCTCATGCAGCTCCTCGCACAGCAGTTGGGGAAGTCACACTAATAGAACACACCACCACACACATGCCAAGCACTTCGACCAGCTCTGATGACTAAACAAATCACTCAACACCAAGACGCCTCTATCCCTACCACTACCAGGTTAAGTAGTTCGAGACTGACCTTCAGCAATGTTCCGAGAGCGTGGTGATACCCTCCCTCTACACCAACTCACCAGCTCACATCCCTTGGCAAATGGCAATCCTCTTCACGGAGGCTATCCATCCTTCACTCCCTTCATTCCAAAAAATCAACTTCGTTTCAGCCAGTTGTTGGCTGATTTCCCTTAGGCGCGAATTACCTCTTGTATCCCAACTGCCCCCTCTTTGGCTACCCCCAAACAATCTCACCACTACTACTAGTCCCATGCTTCTGAGGCATGCACCACTACACTCCCACATGACTGCGTGTGTGCATGTGTATGTATGTGGTACACTGTAGACAAGATGCTTCACTTACTGAAGCCCAAACACCTCCACTTGAGGTCAGTCTACTCAATTGCCTGCTGATGCAACCGCAACTAGTGCCTTATCTAAGCCACCTTTTAAAAGAGTCATTTTCTTTTAAGACAACGCAAACTGCTAATTTGGCACCCCTACTCCTCCGATGATACTCCCCCTACTTCCGGTGGAGTTAGCGTTTCACATTCATACGATTCATCACACGTGGAATAGACCAGCCAATTGGATAAGTGACATCGGTCCAGAGATGACCAGAGCCTCTACACACTAGGCTTTCATTACCTTCATTCACTTCTCTACAAATGGTCCATTTCTGTTGAGGAGCATTCACAACATTCTCTCATGTTGTAATTCTGCATTTCGGTGGAAACTGCAACTGCAACAGATCAAGACACACTTCCACATCGTAAAACTCTCCACACCACACATTTGTCTGG